CTGGGAACGTTGGAGTCCTCCGTCACTGAGGCAAGCAAGCCTCATGTTAGTTTCAAGCTGCCTGGCTGCCGGCCGCCATCTTGGCTGTCAGTTAATTTGCATATCTCGCTGATTAGCCAATGGGAAGGGTAGCGGTCGTACGCCAATTACCATGTTTCTCTTTTATTAGTGTAGATTGTAACCCTCTATCTGGGTTATATGGTTCTGAGTTCTCCTCCAGTAGAGGAATAGGATGTATGTGCTTGTGAGAGGAACTGGATAAAGAGTTTTTTGTGTCTTCCTGCCCTGAAGACATTTTTTGGCCACAAAGTGAGTTTTGTAGGCAGGGACTGTTAGTGACTCACTGCCTGAATGGGGAAGTGAGACAAGTCTCTGAAGGGAAAAAAAAGTTTTATGCTGATACTTTAAGGAAGACTATAGCAATGCCCTGCTTTGATTGATACAAGGAGAATAAGTTCTTGGCTAGAATATTTTTGGTATTTGGTACTTTTCCCTGATAAAGGAAGTTGTTAATTTTGGGGTGATTCTGCCATGTCTATACTTGCATGTTTCTTTTAAAATATCTGCCTATAATTGTTCTTGTAGATTACACTTTCATCAACCTGGATTTTAGGACTTTTCCCTATAAAATAGTTCATTTTCTGCTTTTTTTTTTGTTGGTAGAAAAAGGTACAACCTTCTCCTGAAACACCCACTGATAGTGCTGCTTGGATTTTGTGATTGTGCATTGTTCACATTGCATTTTAAAATGGGCTCAGGTGAGGTCGGCCATGATTCCCACTCTGAGAGTTAATAGCGGGAGAAGGCATTGGATATTCAGTGTCCAGCAGGTAGTGAGGGGAGTGAGAGTTCTACAGAAGCGTTCTCAAATGGGGGCAGCTGCTTTGGTGATGGGCAGCAGCCATCACATCCAGTGTTGAGCAGACCTGGGGTACATGCTGGTAGGGGTGTCCTTCCTCTTTCATGTTGGTGTATTTCCCCTCATGAGCCTTGGGGCAGCGAAAGAGTCCAACATTATTGAGGCTTAAAGGTGAGTGTAGGGCTGTGGGTTATGTGTCAGAAGCAGCAGCTTGGGTAGGAATTGTGGATGGGAATGTTGATATGGAGTAAGGCAATCTCCTGTTGGAGTATGAGCTGGACTCTTGCTGATACTGATGTACATTAGTGGAGGTTGGCACCAGTGAGTGTGTGTGCTGTGCTATATGGTGTAGTATATGTGCTGTAGAAGCAGTGTGTGCAGTGTTTGGTGTGTTGCAAAAGCAGCATGCATGTGTTGCCTGTGCTGTAGTATATGTGCTGTAGAAGCAGTGTGTGCAGTGTTTGGTGTGCTGCAGAAGCAATGTGTGCATGTGTATAGTGTGCAGCACATGCTTTGGTGTGTGCTGCAGAGGCAGTGTGCATGTGCTACAGAAGCAGTGTGTACTTTCTGTGGTGTGTGTGTGCTACAAAAGCATTCATGTTTGGTGTGTGCAGTGTGCAGTGTGTGGTTTGTATGCTGCAATCTGTGTGTGGCGTGTGCAGCATGTAGTGTGGAGACTTGTGGTCCTTTCTCTGGGTGGTCTTTAAGATGTTCTTGAGCACCTACAGCAATTGAGGAAGCTTCCTTTTTTTTCTTGGTAGTTTGTATTTTAGAAAATGAGTTTTTCTTGGTAGGACGTAATTTTTGCTGGGTCATTTTTTACAAGAGACCTTAAGGCTTGGTGTGCAAGATTCACACTGTTTTTTAATCATTATCCTTTTTGAACATTGAAGCGTTTGCACATTGCTGCTACCTATGATTATTATTGTTGTAATCTCAGTATCCTCTCTGTTCCTCCTTACCATTTTAAGGATGAGCAGCCTGAGGCCCAGAGTGCTTCAGTGAGTTGTGTAAGGCAATAACCAGCAGCGAGCAGCCTTCAAGTTCAGAAAGGTTATCTGTCCTCACAGAACAGTATTGCCTCCTTCTCACTACATGCCTTGTCATATTAGTTCAGCCCTGTCTCTCTTTCTCCATGAGAGACTAGAGAGATTTCTTAAATTTTCATTTTTATTTTTAAAAGTATTTTAATATTCTGGGCCTCTTCTATCCTGATTTCTATATGGTTTGTATTGTATTTCATTATGTAGTGTCTAGAGACACTAGACCACTCAGATTGAAGGAATTTCAGATTAGACAGCTCTGGTCAGGCCTCAGCCCTCTTCCAGGAGGGTGAAGGACTCCCTTGCCCCCATACCTGTTTTCATTCTGGAATCTGCATCTATTAAAAGTAAAATATTAAAAATAAACTATAATGTTTTTAGTATTATGAGTTTTTATTGGTTGGAATATTGATCAGATTTTTGTTGTTGTTGAGAATATTGGATCATTGTACTGCACACGTAATTCACTTAAATGTAAAAGTGAGGGTGAGTTTTTGGTTAATATACTTTTCCAACTGGGTAGATTCTAAGATCTATGGGGTATTTGTGTGTCCCCTCCTTACTGTGCTTATAAGGGACATGCGTGAAGGGTGGGCCTGCCTAGGGAGAGGATTCAGAACACTTTCCTCATCTCTTCAGGAAGGTGGTTCTCACCCTTGGGTGCTCAAAATCACCTGGAGAGCATTAACATGGGTCTCTTCCCTGGAGACTCTAATTAAATTGGTCTGAGATGGGCTGGATTTTGTAAAGTCATCTTGGTTTAGAAAAGTTCCAGGAAATCCTAATGTGCAGTCCCTCCTGATAATCACTCTCCCAATACCACCTGAAGAAAAGGAACCACTGTGTTTGTTTCCTTCCTTCCTGCTTGCTTGCTCCACATTCCAGCCAGAGGTGAGAGTGTGCTGCTCTTAGAGCATCAGTGGTTAGGTCATGACGTGGGCCAGCCTCCCAGGGTTTTTATCTCCTTAAGCACCGAGTGATCCTGGAGATAATTTAGTGCGCTAAGTGTCCTGGTCCTTCTCAGATATAGGCTGACTTATTTTTGCAGAGATATTTCTATAAAAGTTCTAATGAGACTTTCCTCTTGTTCTCATAGTACACTTTCTCAGGGCCCTAAGATTTTTCTGGTTTTGCTTTTTGTTCAGTAGATTCATATTTCAGGACATAGTCTGTTATCTTTCTCTGGAGAAGCACTTTTTAGTCAAAACATTTTATTGACTCAGAATATGCATTATTTTCCTCTTAGTGGCAAGCATTTGTCTCATTTCATTGTGTAGTTTCCTGTTAAGAAATGTAGGGTATATGTGAATTCACTTAATTTCTGACATCACATTGAACCCCATTGGTGGGTAGTTTTAGCCAACCAGACGCTTCCTGGTATCCAAGTAAGAAAGATATATAGTTCTGGAATAACAGGAAACTTCAGTATTCAACATCCTGTTTTTCTGGGTTTTATGACTTGCTGCTTCACCACAATGAAGGTTAGTAGACAATTTATGTAGATTTCTTTTTGTAGAATATCACAGATTTAATTTTCCAGGCTCTAGAATTATAATTTTAGAGCTGAAAGACTGCTGCAGATCACCTACTCCAGCATTTTACAAGTAACATGTTCTACATGTAAGGAAACTGAGGTCTACTGAGGTTAATACTTTTAATTCTTTAAAAAAATATATAATTAGCCCATTTAAAAAAATGTAGGTGGATATGTCAGCCTAGATAACGCTCTGATTTGACTTGGAATTCCTTTAAAAATAAGTATCAGAATAAATGAATTAAGTTGTATATTATAAGATAGTTCTTAAGACTGTTCTAATGGCTATCTCTTTTTATAGGAAGGATCTGGCATCATAAAATTAGCTTTATTTTTATTTCAACTATGTGAGATAGGGCATCAGTCATTGTATACAGAATGCTTAGATGTATTCATATCTTTTAAGTCTTGTAGTTCTATTTAGTTTCCTCCTTCAGCTTTTACAAAAAGCTGCGTTTTCAGCTCCTCTTGACTCAGTGATTTGATGCCTTCCTTTCTTGAAGTTTTTCAACTTCCGAATTTTCTTATTTTGTTGTTTGTTCATGTTCAAAACAAACCTCCTGTTTCAGAAAGTACAAGCAGAAGATCATTACTGAAGATGATTTTTGAGAAAGCAATAATTACTCAGATTTGGAATAGCTCTTCTTAGCTGTTCTTTATGTGAATGGCACTCACGGTGACATTTAGTGCAGCTAAATAAATGGTGGATGGGTGGATGGATTGGTGCATTTATTCATTCAGCAAATAACTTGAATTTTTACTGTGTACTGGTCATTTTGCTAGATGTTGGGTGTTGTAAATCTGGCTTTGTAGACTTGACAGTATAGAGGGCCATATACACATTAAATGTAATGTTGTTTTTGTGATGAATGTGCTGGCAGGGCCTGGGTAGCGGACCTAACTGAGTTTGGTGAAGGAAGTGAGGCTGGGGGAAGTCCGATGAGTAAGGGTTAGCCAGGAAAGAGGTGGGGGCTGGGAGGCAGGAAAGGGGGTGGTCCTGCCAGGACCCATGAGGTAGAGGAACTGACCAAATGAGGGAGAAGTGGCAGTCAGCGGGAGAGAATGTCTGGGCCCTCCTGTGCTGATATTCATTCTTGGGTATCTAGTCATGTTGTTTTGTTTTTGTCCCACTGAGAGAAACTTTTGGAAATATGTTAACACAATTTACATTTTGGTGGATCTAAATACCATATCTTTTTGTTATTTGCATCTTTGAAATATTTTCATAATTTTTTTCTGGCAGAGTTGTGGTTTATTTGATTATTGAAAAAAAATTTTGTGTGGAGTTTATTTGGTGATGAAAAGCTATATGTAATTTTCAGATAGTGTATGGGAATGAGCTCTGTTTATTTTAATGTGTGTGCATTGGGGCTGACTCATTTTCCCCTTGTCTCTAGGCCACTCTGATTGAAGGAATTTCAGATTAGATAGCTCTGCCCTCGTCCCTGAGGGTCAAGTACTCCCTTGCTCCCATACCTGTTCTCGTTCTGGAATCTGCATCTTTTTTATCTTCCCTTCCTTTTACTCTCATCCATTCTGATGCCTGTGTTTCTCTTTTGCTGCTGTTAGCTTTGGAATTGACTGTGACTAGGAGAGGAAATTGGTGGTGTGCCTGCCATGTGGCCTCTGCCTTAATCTGAAAAGAGAAGGATTGGGAAAACACCCCAGATTCACTGAGTGCTGGCGTAATTGGCTCCCTAACCTGGGAAGGACTTCCACTCCAGGTTATGAAGGAGTTTGGGGAGTTGGTCTCTGGCCCAGGTTTAAGGTATATGTAAGGGAATTCCGTTGGACTTCCCACCCCCAGACTGGAAGCTGAGCTCACTGGTCCTGATTTTTCAAGTGGTGCTGCATTTTTATGATTTTACCTGGAAATCCTACATGTGGTTCTCTCATTTTGCAAAAACTTGGTTTATCCTGCACCCAACACAAGACTCTATTAATTTTGTTTAATTTTTCCTTTCAGACTTTTGATGCAAATGATTTGTACCAGGGGCAGAATTTTAACAAGGTCCTCAGTTCCTTAGTGACTTTAAATAAAGTAACAGCAGGTAAGATCTTTTTTTAATTGAACTTGACGGGGTATGAAGACAAAAGGGCAAAACCTTTTCTTTTAGCAAGACAAATGGGCACTAATAAAATTCAAAGAAATAAGCTGCTATTGCATTACATTTTTGGTTGTCACTTTTGCTGGGATTTTTTTTCTTATTAGAACAGAATCTTCCATTTTAGGTCCTCAGGTGGATATCAGGTATTTTCCTTTCTTTGGGCAGAGCAGTTACTACCTGAAAATAGAGCAAAGGAGAAATGTCTCATTCATGTGGCTACACTTCCTCTGGATTTTTATTAGGCTGATTAAAACTCATATTTATTAGCAGATCTAATGACTATTTTTGAGGTGTGATCATGACAGTGGAGTAGCCAGTGAATTGGCCTCTAAAGTAAATACCTACCTGGGCAAAGTTTCCAAAGGGCTATGAAAGTACGTACTCAGGGTACTCGGTTCACAGTGTTCTGAACTCCAGTCATATCTCATGGAGAGGGTGAGTGGAGGTGGGGACACAGTCTACTCCTCTGGCTCCCAGACCAAAGTGAGGACAAGAGAGATTCTGTGCAAATTCCTCATGGGCTATAACTGTCCCATGAGCTCCGAGAAGTTCTATCTTGTGGATCTAAAGGAAGGACTTAGTGGCTCTTTTGCTTTAAGGTCATTTTTATTTTTCTTACAGATTTTAGTTTTAGATTTCTGGGGGAAAGTTAGACCTTGATATGTCTCTTTTGATCAGAGACCTCTTAAGTTTATTTTCTCATGGTTTCTTCCCATTTGTGTCCTGGCCCTTCAGATGGAGTGTACTCACTTCATTGTGTCCTGGAGGAACTGAGTCAGAACACTTCGGGCTACAATCTTGGCTGGGAGGTCCTCTGCACTCAGGAACTATCCCTGGTGCTCCTCACAGCACTTGTTTGCTGGGATGCCTATCTAGGGGCTGCCTGTGCTGCAAGAGCAACTGGAAATTTGGGTTTTTCTGTGACATATTCAGGCGTTTAGTTGTTGACAACTAACTCAAATTTTATAAGACACTATGTAAGCCAGGCATGCCAAACTTAAAGGCTAACACGGGCCAGATAAACAAGGTTTAAGTTTATGTGGGCCGCAAAAAAACAAAAGCTGCAATTTTCATAGGAACGTAGGTTTATTTCAGTAGAGACCTGCTGAATATAAAGGGCTGAAATAAATGAGTAATCGTTAACATAAAATAAAAGAACAAGACAAAATATTAATTTTTATGAAAATGAGCATTAACCTCCTAGTCACTGAATAACTGCACAAATTAATAAGCATAACGCAAATAAACATATTTTTCTTGTTCTCCAAAAGCGAAATATTTCCTGTTGCGCACACCAAACAAGTCAGTCCAAGAATAATGATGTGCAATCGCCTGCTAAAATATTTGCTGCTAGTATTAGTGGAGAGAAATGGCGCGCCTGCGCGTAAGGCATGTAAGGGAAATGCATGAAACACAATTATAGTAATCACTCATTAGCGAATGTTGTAGTTCGTTATTAATAACTATGTATAACAGGATATTGTAAAAATTAAGTTAAGAAATTAAAAAAAAATGTTTCTTACATACTGTATGTTGGCTGGGCTGCAAAAATATTCATTGTGAGCTGCATGCAGCCCATGGGCCACGAGTTTGATATGTAAGCCAATCCAAATATCTGCCAGGAAAATAGACCTGGAGATCATCAGTTTAAGAACATTTTTACAGAAGGCTCCCATGTATCTTTAGGAAATTGCTAGGCAGTTTCCTATGTATCTCAGAATAGTGACTTCTTAGAAAACTATTCATGGCCTCCTTTTTAAAAAAAATAAAATTACTTCAAAGAAGTGGGTTGCTAACATTTACTTACTGGTTGGCCTGTATGGAGTGTATAATCATGAAGAGAGAGAGAACTAAGCGCTTTAATAGCTGTTTACTTGTGTTGTTGTTCTTAATCTCCGCCTGAGGATAGTTTTCCATTGATTTTTAGGGAGAATAGAAGAGAGAGGAAAAGAAAGAGAAACATCTATATGAGAGAAACACATTAATTGGTTGCCTCCTGCACGAGCCCTGACCAGTCAGGGCTCGGTCCGGGGAGGAGCCTGCAACCCAGGTAGGTGCCCTTGACCAGAATCGAATCTGAGACACTTCGGTCCACAGGCCGAAACTGGCTAGGGCAATAGCTGTTTACTTTGATCTTTTCACAAACTTGGTGAGGTGAATAAAGCTTGGGCTGCCTTCATTTTGAGGAAATAATCCTCAGAAGTGTGTCTAGCTGCAAAATACAAGGGAATTTTCTGTTGGTTTTAAGTAAGTCTTTTCCTTTTAAATAATTCTTGCTGCTTTTGTGAACGGTGATCCTGGAGAAGTGGGCATGTGGTGGTGATGTATTGGGAATGAGTATGGGGTGGTGCTCTACAAAATAATTGAATTAGTAAGGGTGTTCCCCCCCTCCCCGATGAAATGAAAGTATTAAAAATAGGTTAAGAACATTTCATAAGTTTGAAAATTATGCTAGAGAAGAACTAATAAATAGTTCTCTCCAGTTAATTTTTGGAAAGGTGATTGGAGAATGAGGGCAAGTCTGTGGTAGACAGAATCTGCGCTTTGTGTGTTGCATAAATGGCCTGCTTTGTTGTGGTCTGCGGTGCGTCCCTCGGGGGCTGCTCCAGTTTAGAGTCTGGTGTGCACTGAGGGTGCATGGTGTCAGGCGTCTCAGCTCACTCTTTTCTCTGTTCACGACCTTTTCAGACATTGGACTGGGAAGTGACTCTGTGTGTGCCCGGCCCTCATCTCATCGGATAAAGTCTTTTGACTCCCTGGGATCCCAGCCTTCCCACAGTCGGACTTCAAAATTATTCCAGGGCCAGTATCGGAGTTTGGTAAGTTTGAGAGAGATAGTTATTGAAATTGGAATATGTGGGGAAGTGATTGTGTCTGTAGGTGAATCTGGAGCAATGCACATGCCTCCATTAATAAGAGTTGCAGAGGGAGGGGTGGTTTGATTTTTTCCCATTGTTCCTTTACTTGGGCTTGGCATTTGCTCATCACCAAATTATCCAGATGTAATGCTTAATGACTGCTTTTGAGAAACTTTTGTTATTTTCGGTGTTATATCTTAAGATGCATAATCAGTTTATCTAGAGACATGTGTGCTTTAAAATATTTCTCTGGTCACTTGCATAGTATTTTCTCTCTGCTATGCACAAATATACGGAACTGTAGGAATAAGAAATATATATTTGTAAAATACTTAGTTGCATAAAGAACCAATGGCTACAAGCTAAAAAGACCTAAGAGTGGTTTTTCTCTTAATAAAGGGTGCTTTTCTGAGTCAGGATGCAATATATGAAGGAGGAACTCTTTGTTTTCTATATATATATTTTTATTGATTTCAGAGAAGAAGGGAGAGGGAGAGAGAGAGAAACAACAATGATGAGAGAGCATCATTGATAGGCTGCCTCCTGCAAGCCCCCCACTAGGGATCGAGCCCACAACCTGGGCATGTGCCCTGATCGGGAATCAAACCCTAACCTCCTTGTTCATAAGTTGATGCTCAACCACTGAGCCATGCTGGCTAGATGGAGGGACTTCTTGGTTAAGAGGGGTAATGAGGTGGGGGGAAAACTTAGACTAACAGTCATCTTGGAAAGTAAAGAAAAATCCATTTATAAATCATCAGGCTATTAACAAAGAACACAGGATTAACAGTGAAATTGTTACTGAGAAACTGGGGAAAAATTAAATATAATACTGAACAGAGAAAATGTATAAAGAGGCCATCACATCAGCTGACCAGAATGAGACTGCTCCCTGTTGTCATTGTGAAAAAACGCTGAGCCCTCTTTTGAGCTAGTGGATGATTGGCATTTAGTTTGATTAACGAGTGATGTGACTTTGCTTTCATGCAACAGTTTAGTAAATTATTTTCTGTTAGAAACGTAAATGATCTTGTAACTGGAGTCTGAAGAGAGGCCGATTCTTGTAGAGTTTTTAGGGACCAGATCTTTCTATCTACTTCAACATAGAAAGTAATATTGTTAAACTAATGGTGATCCTTAAAAAAATAATAATAATTTAGTTAGAGCTGTATTTTATAGAGGGAAAGAAATTTAAGTTTAGTTCACGAAGCCATGTTAGAAACTGAAAGCTGAAGAAGGAACATAGTTTTTATATGTTCCTGCATTTTTGAACTCAAGCTAACACTGATTGCTATTTATTTTTGACTGTTTTTTTTTTCTTAGAGAAGTCCTATTATCCTGTTTCTGATTTTGTGTTCAATACAGCATGCTTTGAGTTGTTTTTCTGTGCCAGACATTGTTCTAGGTCCTTTACTTGGACTCAAATAACCCTTACAGTGATCCCCTGAAGTTAAGAGTTTAATGGTAGAGAAATTTTGCAGAGTGTTGGAAGCACTCTAATGCCAAATTAAGAAAAAAAATACACAAACCACTTGAAAAATATTTTTATGAGAGGATTAAAAATACACCTTTATATTTATTTCATATTTCAACTCCACTAAAAGTATTTTTTATTCAGCACATACTAAATAACTGGCACTTCACCGACCTTTATAATGAGCTATTTCTTAGTAATAATAGATAGCTGTAGCACTTGCTTGGGTTCAGCACATATTTTGAAAAATATTTTAAATTAGCTTTATTTAAATACATGAACAAAAAATGTAAGAGAGATCAGCAAACTCTGGGTGAAGAAATATTTACTGTCTCACCCATTTACCCTTGGCAGTTTTCATATTTTTTGTTTTTGAGTAAATAAAAACTGGATTGCAAATCTATAATTTGAAGTAAAATATAGTTAAATGTAGTGTTGGTAGTGAATGTTACTGAGATCACAGTAAGTATAGGATTAATTTTTCATTAGCTAAAGAAATTTTTTAAGTTACTCCAAAATTAAAAAGACCTCAGTCATCTCACCTGCCTTTGTGTCTATGATTGGTAGACACAGTTATCTGCTAGTGAAATGAACATGGCAAGATTTCTCTTACCATGCCAGGTAAGAGTAATTATTTGCCTTAGATTTTTTATGTGTTAGTAATAGTAATTTTCTTACATTAAAAATAATTTCTAATGAAACAAGATTGGTAAAATTTTTAATTAAAGCTGGGTGATGGTAACATGGAAGTGTATCTATCATTCTCTAAGTTTGTGTTAGAAATTTTCCATAATAAAAATGTTAAGCTAAAAAAGCAACTTGTGCCCTAACTGGTTTGGCTCAGTGGATAGAGTATTGGCCTGCGAACTAAAAGGTCCCAGGTTCGATTCCAGTCAAGGGCATGTACCTTGGTTGTGGGCACATCCCCAGTAGGAGGTGTGCAGGAGGCAGCTGATTGATGTTTCTCTTTCATTGATGTTTCTAACTCTCTATTCCTCTCCCTTCCTCTCTGTAAAAAGTCAATAAAAAATATATTAAAAAAGATAAAAAATAAAAAAGCAACTTGTAGTTTCTTGAACATTATGTGACCTCATTAAAATAAAGCTGAGCTTTGAGATTGTGTAAGGTACTACCATCCCCAAAGCAAGGATTAGTATTTTCAAGGTGCTACAGTAATTGCTTACATTTCTATTTAAGAATGTATCGCCTAATTACCACCTCGGTGCTGGTTGTCTGCATAATGTTGCTTCAGTGTTTGTGAACTTATCATCTGTCTGTTCTAGGACAGATTTCCTGCCTTGTGATGAAGGCAGATTTGAAAAGTTCTAGTGTTTTGTTGTTGAGTTCACAAAATGTTTTTCCAAGGCATGCAAGACAGTAAAATGTATTACACATGTACTTAAAAAAATAGTTTTAGTTCCTCTCTACCATAAACATAGAAAATAATTATGCTTCTCTAATGTGCCATATTTAATCAATTCTATGACTGTTTTATTAAAAAAATTTTAATATGTCTGAAAGTAGCATGTGCCTTACAGTTGATATTATAATTCATAGTATTTGGTGGAGATAGTTAACCATTGGAGTAGAAATTGGGTCTTTCACTCCTCAACAATCTTTTATTCTATAAATAAGATTATAGGTACTTTTAGGGAGTGGAGGAGAGGGTGGAGTTGATGTGAAGACAGCACACCAGGATGTCCTGGTTCTGGATTATTAGGATAATTACAGAACATTGGATAAGACAAAGAACTTAAGTTACAGAGGTGAGATACTGATGGTGGTGCTTTGTCTATAGGAATCAGAAATAGGCCATTAAGAATGAATGTGGTGGGTATAGATTACTGTTTCCAGAGGAGGTACCCTATGTGTGCCCTACCTGGTTGTGGGGGTCACCTTTTCCCTTTCCATTTTCATTCCATCATTAACTTATATTGATATGTAACATACATATAGAAAAGTGTGTGCCAAAAAAAAAAATAAGAAAAGTGTGTGTATCCTAAACAAACTGCTTGATGAATTTGCACAAGTTGAACATTTCCAGTGTGTAAGTACCCAGATCAAGAGACAGAACTTGACCTGCCTTTGTTGTGTCTGCTTTTCCCAAGGGCACCTGCTGTTCTGATTTCTTTTCTTTTTTTTTAACATTTAGTAATATTTTAATAACACAAGGTAAATAACGCCTAGTGAATTTTAATATATATTTAAGCCTCCTCTTTGCACTAGGGAGAAAGGGAGTTGAGATTTTTTTTGGTGGTGACTTTTTTTTTCTGATTTCTAATAGTAAAGATGAGTTTTACCTGTTTTGTGTTTTACATAAGTGGAATTCCACAGCATATACTTATTTTATAACTGGCCTCTTCTGTTCAGCTCTTTATGTTTTAGACTGATGTGGAGTGTCATGTTGAGCCCAGATAGATGATGAGGTATAGTTTCAGAAGAACTTTTTAAAAAAGGGAAGGGACAAATTCTAAAGTAATAGATAGTGATTAAATACATCCTTTCCAGATTCCTGTGACACTAGTGACAGTGACTAGAGCACTCTTGACTCAGCCGTTGTGATGTTAGGCTGAAATTGGTGTGTAGAGAGTCCCTGGAGTACAGCTCTTTGTAGTGTACCCTCCTTTCAGCCTGTCTTTGGCATCTTCCCCTCTAATCATCACTCTTTAGAGTGACATTGTAAAAATCTGTATATACTTCACTATAGTTAAGTGCTGAACGGATTTATGGAATCTGAAATTTTAAATGGATCCAGCCTGGCTGCTTGTATTCTGTGCCCTTCTTTTCATCTCATCTCTCAGACATCTGTTTTTTCCTTAGTGGAGTGCCTGTTTCTGAAGCAGAGAAGGTATCATTGGTGTTTGCCTAACTTGTGCCTTGAGTGTAGAGAATTCATAAGTGTTGGGAGAATGTAATTTACCTCATTTATAAGGTCCTGACAAGATATCGCCATTTCTCAACTTAGGTCAGGCCAAACTTATGTGCAGAGGGGGCCTCAGTGCTGGTTGCTGAGCTGAGGTGGATGAGCTGGGCAGTAGGGTCACCCAGGGGCAGTTTGACCTCCTTAGGGGCCTGCTCTGCAGGTTTGTTTGTTTTGTAGTATTCTTTTGTAGGACTTTATCACCAGGATCGGCTGGTGTGCTTTTACAGAAAGCCAGGATAAACCACAAGTAGGAGAATAATGAAGATCATAGTAGACAACTGATGAGTAAGGACAATGGTTTGAAGAAAGAGAGAATCTGATATAGCATAATAAGCCCGATGATGTTTCACTGAACCAGAACAAGGAAAATTGAATCAGAAAAATGTGCCATTTTTCCAAATGTGAGCTTCACATGGACAAGCGAATTCAAGTGTGCCGGCAAGCATTATGCTTGAGGTGACCGTGTTGGCCAGAGCTTTCATTGCCAAATGTCAAAGGCATATTTCTTTATTAAATACTAGAGGCCCTGTGCACGAAATTCGTGCAGGGGGAGGAGGAATGTGC